CGGCGAGTTTGTCCGCGAGAACGATAGGCTGTGGCGGCGGCATCGACGTCGCGACTAAGGTGGAGCGTCCGGGCAGCACGACGACGCTCAACTTCACGGACCTGGGGAGCCCATTCGGGGCGGGCGACCCCTGTCCGTCTAGTACCCCGACCCCGAATAGTATGTCGGGAGGCGGTGGACCGTCTGGTGGTGGCGGTGGTGGAGGTGGCGGTGGTGCTGGTGGCGGAGGCGGTGGTTCCGACATGGAACAGCATCTTCATCACACGGGGTTGGGTTCGGTGACACCTGGACCACCCGGTGGCAACGGTGGTGACAGTACAACCTCTAGTACCCCAGTTTCTCAAAGTGGCAAGTCGGCGTTCATCGAGTTGCAACACAATAATCTGTACAATCCCGCCAGTCTACGTGGTGGTTATCCCGGAGGACACAATGTGCCTGGTGCTCATCAGTTCTCGCATCAAGTTGGCGCGCTAGGTCATCAAACGTCCGGTCCAGGCAGCGGGAATCAGCAACACGCGGAGGCAGGATTCCCCAGTCCTAGGTCCGCGTTAGCCGGATATCCGTTCCCACCCATGCACCAGCACAACGCCTACGGATATCACCTGGGATCGTACGCGCCCCAATGCCCCTCGCCGCCCAAGGACGGTGAGTACCCAAACTGTATGTATTCGCAGCCATTTTTATTATACTAGACATAGTTAACCTAGTTCTCCGTTCCTGGAAATCATTGGAACACCGTTTTCGACGAGCGTTCGTAATTCCTGGTGCTACGTTTCACGGTTTCAAACGGTAAAGAGAACGACGGAAGTTGGTCCGGCGTTCGCGTGGACGAAAGTGGTGTTTCAGTGATTTCGCGGAACGGGAATCCGCCGAAGGGCTCACGATGAAGACCAGTGTTTGTTAGTTGTCTTTTGAGTGAGTTCATCGTAAGCCCTTCGCGGCACTATTTAGATAAGCAAGAACGCTATTTCCCTCCGGTCGCGCATAAGTAGATAACTCGAGTACCGGTTGTGCAAATCGTTAAACGGCAAACGACGTGTAAACTATCGAAAATAGGTTAAAGAGCGACTCGATTAAAGTACGATCGGCATATTTCCAACTCGTTCAATCAGAATTCCGTTATCGCTCAAAGTGCCTCCTACCCTCCGGCAAGTTCCCAGCAGAAATACATCAGCCAAGCGTATCTCTTTAGTTACGAGATCATAATTTGTCAGCAATTATATGAAAAAAGCTTGTTCGATATTATTCGCCGAAGCGGCCCTCTCCTTGGGAGGTCGGATCATCGAAAACACATCAGGGTGCGTGAACGCGTGGCCGTCAGGCGCGGAGTCGAAGTCGTAAACCTCTGGTTCGTCGTTTGTATGTTGATTCCGCCGGTCGTGGAAGGAGCGGAGACGCGGCTGGCCGAAAAACAAAAAAGGAACGAAAACGGAAGAGAGAATCTAGAGTAGCAGGTAGTGGTCGGTCGACGGCCTGCCGTTCGACGGGCACAATAACGCCGAGAAGCGGAATAAGATATACGACTAGGAAAGAGAATCCTCTTGGGATCCGAAAAAGTCCCGCAAAGCGGCTAACGAACGAAACAAAAAGCCTCTGGCCTGAATGAGAATAGAACTCGCGGTCCTCCCCGTGTCCTCGAACTGCTCCGCCAGATATTCAAACGTCCGGATACGCAACTGTTCCTCGTTCTTTTCAACGTCCTCGTGCCCCCTCGAAACCTTCGTAGCGACGCAACCGCGACGCAACGCGATTTTTTTCCCTATCGCACGGTCGGTTAAAAGTCGCGAGTCAGCTAATTACGCTCTTTGGATTACTAGACACTTTTGCCTCGATGTTCTCTTTGCGGCGATCGACGAGAGGAACGTTTCAGTATCGATCCACCACTCTCTGACCTCGTCGGCACGACGTCTGAGAATGAATATTATACGTCGCTGGTAGAATTGAACGCATCTAATGTTCGATCCGCTTTGTTGAAATCGCGTAAGTGTTGCCTCAACTGTTAGCGGTGTAAACAGAAACCTATAATATTTTTTACAGAAGGTACGACATTGGAAATAGTGAAAAATGTAACAAGTTTATTCGGAGGGTTAAATCTGATAGAAGCTCAATCTTACATTATTAATATCGTAGCAATATATACTATAAAATGTTTCATCCACTACATATCAATGCTTGTTCATTGTGATATATGTTTCCTTCAACTGTTGAATCAATTAATACATGTCGAATAACGTGTTCGTTTTACAATTACTCACGGACTAAAGTGGACTCAATCGGACGAGAGTACAATAATTAAGGAAGAAATATACGTAGGTATCTGAAAGAATACGCTATAGGATCGCTGTCTTACCAAAGCAGCAACCCCTTGCAACCTCTTCGTTCCACGTAAATTAATAATAACCGATATTCTTCCTTTCCACCTGTCCTTCGTTCCCTGAATATCCACGATATCCGTTCTTTCTACATTATGGAAGCCCAGCGCCAAGACTCTCACCCCCGTCGCTTCAGATCCACCCCCTTCGCGTAGTTCGAGGCACAAGTACATCGGTTATAGGTAATCTCGAATCGACGGTTTTGTCGAAATTACTAGGAAAAGGGATGAATTCCCGATGATACGATCCACGGAAGGGTTCTTCCCCCGTGAGAGTTTTTCCTTTACCCCTTAAGAATCCAGGGACTGAACTCTCCGCAATTTTTTCCCCCTTTTTCGCATATCGAAACTCCTCGACGATTCGAAAAGTTGTAAATGCTCGACCATCGGAAATACTCGGTGATTGCGAGCGACGATTGTCGTGTCGCGGACTGAAAGGGTAGACATCGATGCGCACGTATTTGCAAAGTTAGGATAATCGTTTCTTCAGGGTTAAGTTCTAAGAACAGCAACTGCAAATTGTCACGAGTTTCTCTCGCATGAAAATTGAATTGGCGAGTTGGAAAATTTGTATCGGAAGAGATATGTCGTGTAGCGACGCATCGAAGTTATTGTCGGGCCATATTGTTTCCATCGCGCTCCGCGGGGTGCCTTTTCTACTCGTTTCATCGATGAATGGCCACGTGCCACGACGCGGTTATCGATTGCTCGTGATTCTCGCGCGTCAATGGGTTGCTGCAGATTTTTTTTTTCGAACGGCGTCGAGCTTGTCTTTCGCGTCGCGAGCCGAGATTCGCCGCAATTGTTCCGTGTTTAATTGGTCAACGCGAATTTATCGTGGCCCGATCGTCGGGGTGATTAATCGTTACGAGTGGCTCGTTTGCGCGTGTGACAAATTGCGAGAGTCGGCTCGCGGTCAATGTAGTCCGCGAGCGAGGCTGATGGAGACGATTGAATTAATTAAATAACAAATATCGTATTAGGAATCGCGATCGAGCTAATTACCCAGCTGCACGCTATTGTTTGCGCATCCTCCTCGGGCTATGAACTACCTTTCTGTTCCTCCTGTTTAATATTTCATAAAATATCATTTATACTCTAATAAAAGTTTAACAAATCATAAAGAAGTTCAGATTAGAAATTATATAAATTTTCGTGTCGTGTAATGAATAAGATTATCCTAATGACAGAGGTGATTTATTGTAAATCGGTTATTTGAGAACATAATTCATGTATTTTTCGACACCGACGTGTTATAATTGTACGTTTATTTCATTACTGTAATGTTTGTTTAAGAACATGGTTATAATTATACCATTTCATGTGGACTTGGATGCGAAGGTGTGCGATTAAGTGTTAATAAATATTAAGTCAGGTTTATCATAAATAACTATCATTAACGACATGAAAGCAGTGGTTAAAGCTTTCATAAATTTCAAAATTTACAATCTTACAATTAACCTTAAAGAAAGCAAGTGTGCCCGGCAGTGACACTCGGCGTAACATGGATGTTCTAGGAAATTCGATTTTGATTTAGGTCTACCATCTTTTTACGTTTATATCACTTCAGTGTTTTCCAAGTTTGCACTTCTACTTCACTCAATTATATTTCTCTAAGTCTACGTTTTCCTCAAATCTAAGTTCACATTTCTCCAGGTTTACATAGCACTAGGTTCACATTTCTCCTAAATCTATTTCGAAGTCATCCACATTCACAAACATCCACACTTACCACAGGTTAACCTTACATCCATGATGGTCATAAATTAAAATTTTTCCAAGATTGCACTAAAAGTAAATGGTTCGAGGTTTAATCCACATTCCCTCAGGAACGCCTTGCACCTAGGGTAAACGAAGTACAAAGATGATCGCGTATCGTGTACACAGGCGGCCCAGTATCTGCCACACGATTTTACACTCGACGATGCGCAAACACAGCGGCTCCCTTAGGTGGTAGCATGTATCAGCGACCAATCTCATGGTCACGACAAATGAACCAGCCATTAACATCAGCCCTGTTGAACCTACCTCGTTGCCTTGTCATCGGCGAGAGCCGAGTCGCGGTCGGCAAACCTTCGAACGAAGAATCCAATTAGCGTTAGGCTACCTTAGCCGAACTCGACATTAGTCATCGGGGACCCGACAGCAACTAGGCACCGGTCAAATTAATCCGGAACGGTTCAAAGACAATGAGGACCTCCGAGTGCTGGCCAGCGCCGGGTCCTGATGGATTAGGTATTAAACGGTTGTTTTCACAAGGATTAGGAACACCGACCTGGAACACGCCTAGATCAAATCTTTGAACTGGGGTGCGTGGTCCTTCGGATGACGGTGGCGACGGTGGAGAGCCTTTGAGGATTTGCGTGGAAGTCGTGTTTTCTTCGGGGTAGATACATCCGCAGATATCGAAATGCCAGTCAACCGGATTCTGGAGGTTCTGGAAAGAAGGGTTCGAAATGGTTTTAGCACAAAGTGCACCCGTTCCAATTGTCTAATTCTTCATCCTCCGTTTGACCCTTAGAAACGGACCGACGATAATCTCTGTTTTTTACGTTACATTGAAATAACAACTCATTCATAAAATAACTGCGGCAATGGTGGATTAACCCTTAACGGTTGAAGAATGAAAAAAAATAGATGTCTAAATGTATTCAGACTGTTCTAACAATCTGCACGTAAAATCTGACTGCGTTAACAATCACGCTATTCAGGAAATTAGGGTGATTTTTCTCGTTCGATCGAAGGTGCATTAATTGAGGAGCCCACGAATGTAGGGCAATGAATTGGTGGTTGAGAAACGATTATTGTCGCTCGGTAATCTCGGAAGGAGGCTGTACGAAGTCGAGTACACGCGTGTAACAAAAAGTCGTGAACGCACAACCGTTCGCAAATGACCCGTGCGAATTACGGCAAAGTGGTGGTTTCGACGCGATGGAGCAGTTTTCAGCGAGCGTTTTGCATACGCTACCGCGTTAATGACAGCGAGCTTTCGCAGGCGATGGCGGGAAAAAATTGTGCCGTAAAATACCGCTCCTTCCACCATTTTTACTATAATAGTATCTCGGTAGAAAAGCTTTTTATAAACTTCCGCTTTACTATCGTGATTTTAGGTTTAATCTTATTTTGATCAATGACGCCCTCACGCGTTCATTTAGGTACATAAGGTACTATAAATGCATACGTGCATATATTGTGGGACAACAAGCATATATAGCTTTACGGAAATATATATTTGGTCATACGTTTTTGACCTTTGGAATATTAATGTTCAAGCATTGTACATGTAAGCGTTTTAAGTATTCAAAAAGATGGTTATTGTATAAGGTACAGGGTTAATAATTTAGGTACTGTAGGCTATACATTTTTAAGGAAATTGTTTGAACGAATCAACAGCTATGATTAATCAATAAATGACGAATGAACCCGGTTGACGAATGAAATGTTAATAGTATAAAACTCTGACGAGGATTAAGAATTGCAAGGTGTTCATCTTTTTGTATCGATTTGCAATAAATATTAGAAAAGTCTGCTAGTATAGATTAAAGTGTGAATTATTTTCTTGTGCACAAGTACAAAGTATTAAATAAAGATTCGAAAAACCTCATAAATTCATCCAAGACAAGTTTCCAGCTGAATTTAAATGAAACAGTAATGGAAGAGAATAGTAAAAATCTTTGGATGTAAACGACTAATGAAGAATATCAGCCGTAAAGATCCATTTGCATGAAAAATAAGTGGCAATTTCATTATACGAGCACACAGTGTCGTTCTCTTCCAGTGTGATCCCCTAATTGCGAAAAAATGGCCAGCTTATCGCCCATTTTTATGCTCGATCGAAACGCCTCGTGCCATTTCGCGATCGATCTTAAAACTCGTTGATCCGGGGGTCAACGGTGCACGCCCCGGTTCGCGGTGACACGACCTGGCAATAAATCATAAGAATCGTAACGCGTATGCACGTAAGCATGTCCGGCCATTCACCATAAATTACGTTAATTAATAGTCACGCTTATTATCGTGCGAGGAAAAAGGTTCTGCGAGCAGTCCGGTGTTACGTTACTCGGTTAATTCTGAGTTTGGTCGTCGACATCTTATTCAACTTTGCCACCCGACTAGACTGTAAATTTTCTCACGAACAAACGCTTCGACGAACCATTGAAAAATGACAACGCGGGTGTGCGCGTTATTTGTATCTTTAAACGACCGCGTTACCGTCAGGGGATTCACACTGGTCGCCGTATTATGCTTCATTCTAATTAGGGTATAAACGTAATGGCGCGATCGTATGTACGATAATGTTGGCCGGGCTCTGGTTCGAGCGCGTTTATTTAGTCAGTAATTAATTTATAGCAATTCTTTTTAATTAATTACACTCGGTTAGCACTGCGATATAATTTGACCGATAACGATCGAAACCCGGACAAATTACCACGAGATTAACTCTCGAATGGTGGTCGGGTCATGCTGGTCCACGATATATGTACAATGCATCTTTATGTACACGACTCAAAGACAAATTAAGCAAAAACAATGTTTAAGAAAATAGTTAACCTAACCTAAAAGTTTCCATCGTTCAAATACGCTGTTCTCAAGACACCCTTCAATTGTATAATAAAGTTATATACAAATAGTTAATCTGTTCTAAATATTTCGTACCCAGTCACGCGATATCGAGTGTCAGACAAAATTTTGAATCGACTTTAAATTTTTCTTTCGTTTCATTTGCAAGTTATCGCGGAGTTGAGGTTTTTGTTGAATTTCTCTTTAGTTCGTACACCACCGGTGACGAGGATCCTGAAAGTTGATGTTAGGGTGGTGCATGTTCGCAGACCTCTCGCCATTGGGTGACAAGGGTGGCAGCCTAGTGGACGAACTCGGAGGCGGTGGAGGTGGTTCCCTCAGGAACGGCAAGGGTAAGAAGATGAGGAAACCACGGACGATCTATAGCAGCTTGCAATTGCAACAGCTCAACAGGCGGTTCCAGAGGACGCAGTACTTGGCGCTACCGGAAAGAGCCGAATTAGCGGCGAGTCTCGGATTGACGCAAACGCAGGTCAGTTTCTTTGACATGTTTCTTCTTCTTTTCGTCTCCTTCGTCCGATCGATTCTCTCCCACGGAAGCAACAACCCACGCACCACGTTCTCACGTGCACGATCGTCGCTCGGATGATGAACGCTGCACGCGAATCAACGTACACACCTTGTTTCGTGACTTATTGTGTCCGGAGTCGGCTACATTTTCGCGTTATCTCCAGTATCAGATCCGTGGAAGGGGATATTTCAAAAATGGCCGGTTTTCGACAATAATTTATGCAAAAACGGGTGCATACATCAGAAAGTGACATAATACATTTTTCGTGTTCTTTGCATTTTCTTGAAAGAATCAGATCAGTTCAAACTATCACGAAGTTGCTATTGCATAAAACTCATTCACCCCTTTTGCATCTACACAAGTATCAGTGATTATATTCTTGTAAACAGATTGTTCTTTTACCGGGGGTGCCATTTTGTCTACAGCAAAGTGCTATTAATTATATTTCAATGCGACAGTCCGATGCAATTGCAACTTGAAATTCGAAGTCCCTTTTGCTAATGTGATCAACACCAGGTACCCGTTTCATTTGACACGTGTCGAATTCGGTCATTAAACTCATTATCAACATGTACCGATATAAAGTTGAGCCTATCTTGCTAGAAAAATTCTGTGACAGACATTTATTACTATTCCTTACAAAGTTGTAATGAATTTCGACTTTGAACATCAGAACCTAACTTCCAGATGCATTTTGAAAGTTTATGAAAGTGTCTGTATAAAACATATGAGTGTTCGCGCAAGGTAAATAATTTACGCAAAACAATGTTGCAACGTTCGCGAAAAATCGTCGTGTTTCAACCCCCATGAATCCACGAGAAGATCCTGTTGCATGGACAGTCGAGCGTAACAGGAGCCTCAATGGACGGCATCTGTCAGCATTATCGGCACAAATGACTTTACTAAATCACCGATCCGCCACGCCCTGGACATCGGGGATAGGGTTGCCGTAGTGTCCAGTGCGTCAACAGAGGGAGAACACGCTGGAAGGGTTAACGAGACGGTCATAAATATTCTCGGCCGCGAAGTTTTTCAGCTTTTTCACGCGACGATCGACAGAATTTCCGCCAATTATCCAGCCCGGTTTCCAATTAACGATTTATTAGGCGCACCAGGGAGGATCGTGGTCAAAAGCTAATTGGAGCTGGTCTCCTCGAAGCCATGAATTTCTCGCGGATAGTCCCACGGTTTCCAATTAACGATTTATTAGAACGCGATCGTGACTCGGAGCTAATTGAAGCGAACCCCACGAATCGTTCTTCAAGTCTTCTCGCGTCGATGATGTATCGTGCGTCTTTTTTCAATTATTTTTGCGAGACGTCCGATCCAATAACCTTTGCGTTCGTGGTCGGCTACCTTCTTCCTGTGTCATCATTAATTAGTTGCTGTAATTCTCCTGTTACAATTTTTTCAATTTCCTCGATTTATGTCTTAAACAAACCACTTTCGAATTATACCTTCGATGCATCAGATTCTTTTTAAATTTCTGCTGATTCAAATGAAGGAAGATCGATCAATTCGAAGAGAAGACTGAATTCAATCGCAAGGTTGGAGACGTAAAATGGCTAAACATTTTCTCATAGGTACGCACGCCGTGATACGTAACTGGATATCGCGTAATCACGGGATAACTGGCTGTCGTGGCTTGCTGATGTCGTCGCAGGGGGTCCCGGACCGGATAATTTCATTAGTCCGAGCTCTGCGGGAGTTATTCCCCTCTCTCCTTCGTTCAGAAAATCGAGCCCGACGCTGCCTGATGAGCAATCGCGGTACTGCGTCAGGTTGTTTGCAAAATAACACCGGAAAGGGTATTCTGACGTTGATTTTATGAACAGAACTCCAAATCGCTACTGTTCTCGATTATATAGCACATGGTTTCACTATTTGATACACTTTGTTCAAATCACATATGTTCTAGGTTAAGTACTACTGAGTAGTGATTTACTAGGCAGCTTTCTTGTAGTGCTTCTTCATAAAATTTGAGTTTAAAAAATTATTCCTGTTGCTTTTAAGAACAGAGGAGTTGTACGAATGAAGTTTTGAACTAGAAAGGGAGAGAACTGAAAATGTTATCGCTGTAACTCGGTAGTTTTAAGAAAGGGGTGGTTTCCGGAGGTTCGTGGACCTCGGTGGAAGTAGAATGCTTAGAAAAGGCAATCGACAGCGTGTCTAGTCGCGAGGAGGTTCGCGATCGGTGCATCTCTTCAGGGTGCACCGTGTATAATCAGTAATCGGCCAATCGAGGCGTCCGAGCAAGCGCCTCTGCTTGCTCCGTTGGTCCTGCTACCGTCGCATCGGGTTTCTTGTCATCGCCAGCAACATGGCGCCTACAAGCCTTCGGTCTCTTCCATCTTCCCTTCGTAGCTGTTCTCCTCCTCCTCGTCCTCCTTCTCCTTCGGTTTCAACCGGCTCTCTTTGCCTCGTCCCTCGTCCGTGTCTTGGTACCCGCGCCTTTCTCTGCCTTCTTGCTCGCTTGGCCACGATGTTCGACTTCGCCACGGGAAAGAACAGAGAAGGATCGAGAAGTGAGGCCACGCATCTCTTTTTCTTCGGGGCTTCAATTTGAAGACGTGGTAGCTCGTTCGTGCTGCCGCCGTGCACCAGGGAGAGCCGGGGAGAGACCGGAGCGACGTGCAACAAGGATGGGAGTACTTGTACACGCGAAGTACACACGGCCACGACTAACCCGTGTACATGCAACAGGATAGACACGTAGAAGAGGATATACATAGGTACCAACACGAGTGTCTGCGTTCCTGCCACGTACCTTGGGCGTGGTGGTTCCTTTTTCTTCGTCTTCGCCGACCAACGTGGCCGATCTCTCCTCATTGGCCCTGGGAATGCCAACGCGTCGAAACGAGATTCGAAAGTCGCGCACAGGCGAGTAGCAGCACGCCAAGTGAATTCGAAATCTGAACCCTCTTGAGTGACTGCTGGTAGGGTTTACATCGACGGTGAACTCTAACCTGTACCCTAGAGGTTAGTCGGCAGCGACATGGATCTTATACGTCTAGTTGTCTATTATTGAAACGGAAGCAACGAGGACCTGCGGCTGTCTGTATCGATATCGCAACCGGTGAACGATCGAAACGACCACTCTCTACCACGACGATCGATCGAACTACGCTCCGGGGATAAGATAATGCCGTCACTCAATGGCCGATGCATGAAATCGATCGTCCGCGTAACGCCTTACGCTGGTACCTCGACAGTTCGAGGATTTAATGATTCGAACACTTTCCAGCGAGCTGATTCAACTATGGTTTTAGTCAATACAGTGTCATGAAACTATAAATAGGTCTACCATTTCACTTATTTTTATAGATAGTTTCACATCCACCATAGTTTTGAAAGTTAGGAAAATTTAAGTTCAAGAGAAACTTCAAGAAGTTAAATGTATTCTATCAAATATTTGAAGAGATAATAGTTGAACTTCTTTAAATATCTGATTACATTCATCAAATATGGATTACGTCCATGGGCAGTGGATTGTCTCATGTATGTGGACATAATCACCTAGCTCGTAGGGTTCACACGAACGGAGATGAGAAACGAAGACCGACTTGGGTACATGTCCTTTCGCACGATCGATCGGATCGATTGAACTCTAGAGATTCTGCATTTAGATCTCCAATCCCTTTCTCTATTCACGGCAGCCATTAGCATGTACCGCGAAGAAAAGACAGAAGAACGGAGCGGAAAAACTGTCCCTATTTTTCTCGTTTTCCTAGCTACCGGTAACGTAACACCGGATCACTTGCGAAACATTGTCGTGGCAGACGTCGATCCGCGAATAAGCACGCGTACGCGCGTCTCTCCGCCCTGTATCCACCACCATTCCCTCGCTTTCCGCTCATTTATCTGCGTCCATTTATCTGCCTATCATTGGCGTCGCCCGTGCACATGCCGCCGGTGCTACCTCGCCGAGCCTCGCGTCCCGTTATCGGTCCAGATCGTTCGGATAACCGACTCGATTTCTCGCTACGGAACAATGAATCGGTTAATTAATGATTCCCCATCGACGAGTATCGCGGACGAATATCGCAAAACGAGACGATACGGCTACGAAATATCGTCGATCTTGTCATACACAAATTCCCGAGTCGAAGCTGCGAACTTTGTCCGTGAATTTTTCCATCCACACGATTTACAATGTCTCAGTCTCGGCCTCTTATCAGATCCAACGCGGATTCGAAGCGGATCGCCGTGCTCGCTGTCGCCGCGAGTTTTGTAGGTTAGATGTATTAGATAATGGGACCCAGTCGCGGAACAATGGCTCGAATATAATTGATGATTCCGCTGGACGGGCTCGCGTATGAATCATTAGGCGAACGCCGCTTATTCAGAACAACGTTAGGCGACGGCAGCGTGAAAGTGGTGCACCAACTTCGAACTGAATGTCGGCCGCATTGTGTTTGGAGCGTTAGGCGGTCTGCGCTGTGATAGTAATTGATATGTGCCAGTTCGTCGAGGGAATTCTGGGAGAATGCGTCATTGAGGTGGCGCCGGAAAATGTTAGTCGACTTCGCCCTTTTCAAAAATTGATTGAGGATAGAATGAGAAGGATACAGGAACATGGAATCATAAGATTTGAGGACATAGGGAGTCAGAAGTAAGGGTATCTAGTAGCGTAGAAATACGGAGTACAGAGTTCCTGAGGATATATAAATTTATATGATGTAGAATATACTGTAGACTATACTGATGTAGGTATCTGGAAGTGGAGTGACCATGAGAAGTAGGAAACAGGAACATAAAAGTTATCTACCGCGTCTACAACTGCCAAATATAAACCTCGCTAACTCTACAATGCCATTTCGACTTGAACCGCATCTCCCATTACAGTAATTAACCTTGAAGGACCCTCGAAACAGAATGAAGCCTTCCATGCTGATTCGAAGCAGCTCCTTATCCTTCGTCCAGCTTAATTGGTTTTTCCGTCGTCCTTGTCGACTCGGCTT